TTAAAAAATCAGAAACCAGGGCACTTTTGTGGTGAATTTTTTTAGAATCACAAAACAGTTATTGCAAAAACCAGAGAACTTTTTTTTTTTTTTTAATGGGCTGTTTTTGCTACTGACTGCTTCCAACTCAACAGCCACGTGGGAGTAAAGGATTGTTCTCAGTAACTCAGTGTCTGCTTGAGTTTATCATGAGATTCTGATTGAGTGTCATTAGCATTCGCTCTGAGCAAAAGAACAGCTCTGAGACCATCTACGCTCATTCGACTTTTCTCCTCACTCCAAACACCATTAATCACCTGAAACCTGGTTCCGCCAGCCAGGCAAACGCAGAGCCAATTCTACCACTAGAGCAACACATCTAGAACAAACACTTTGTAACTATAAACGAACCCAAATATTTTGTCTGATGAAATTAAAATCTGGCACATTTCTAGAATTCCAAAAGAAGTTCTCAGGACACAGGGAGATCAAGGAAAAATAAGGCTGTCTCTGTACATTCAGGCTGTATGGCGACTCTTCATTCGCATATTAATTATACATATACAAACTCCAAAATGGCCCAGATTTGCTAAATTTCGAGACATGCTGCATTTGTTTCTCCTGGACTATGAAGAGAGGTAGAAGGCCTCAGTGGATATATGGATGATTATGATCTGCCACTTGGTACAAATATAGTTTTGGGTTTGTAACATTAAATGATTCTCAGGAGGTTCAGAGCCAGTGTCTGGGCACCATTCATGATTTGGAATCAAATGAAAATAAAATAATATAAAGAAATATGGCAAGAGAGAAATCAACACTAAAACAAGTGGAAAACTGGTGAACAAAAAACATTAGGAAATAGTTATTGGAGATGGGATTTTACAATCATTACTAATATGCTCTTTAACTTACTTGTATTTTGTGCAAATGAAAAGTGGTTAAAGTTAGGCTGGCTGAAGAGGTGCAAGAAGCACGGGTGATAGCTAATGTAGATGAAATATACAGCAGTAGTGAAGTAGTAACTGCCAGTAGTAACCGGTAAACTTGAGACTTTCAAGGCTAGATCCTCAGCTAATGTAAACTGGCAAGCGCCTGCTAATTTACAGCAACTGTCAGGATTAGTTTGCTAATTTCATTAATTATTATTAATTGTATTGCAGTAGCACCTAGGGATCCCAAATAAGATCAGGGTCCCCATTGTGCTGGGCACTGTACAGACACAGAGTAGGATATAGCCCATGCCCTGATGAGCTTCCAATCTAAATAGGATCTGACCCTCACTCTTCTGAGCGCCTTCTGGAGGTAGAAGAATTAGCCTGTGGAAATTAATTACAATCCATTTTCTGGGAATCAGGGCCTCTCATCTGAGATACACCTTCAACCTTAACCGTTTCCTCCTAACAGTGGTGGTAGTGTTGTTTAGGGGGAGAGGAGGGCTAAACTAGTAACCTAGGGAATCTCTAACCTACTAAAGCAAAACTCTGTATCATCCTCTCAGGATAAGAAACCAAGGGGAAGGACAAATTAATCTGGCACTAAAATGATGCAAAGGCAATGAAAGCTAAATAGATCTCAGAATCTTTATTTAGCATAGATCTCCTCCTCCCTTTGTCTGTTGTTACCCCCCTCTCTGGGTTGCATCATACTGTAAATTTCTAAGGGCAAAGGACCATCCCTTCTTCTATTTCTATAAAGTACCAAGCATCTCAATGATGCTGCAGATATAATAATTTGTTACAATGACCATGCCAGCATTTTAACTCTGGGTTGGGGGGACCTGGCATCGAAACAGATAGGAATCTGCTCATGGAGTAGGAGGGGCAGATTTTGCTGGGGGAGGGGTCATTCCTCCACCATCCCCATAGACCAGGGGATATGACGATGCAGTCACAGCACTAAGTGTTTAACCCCTTATCTGTGTCTAAACCTGCCCCTATGGGTGGAACCAGTCCTGGGAAGGGGAGGCACAGCGACACTGTGTGTGTGTGTCTGGACAAGTAGCTACGCTTGCCCCGCCACATAGAAAGCCCTGGAGAGGAGGAGATTCATAGATTTAAAGACCAGAAAGGGCCATTATGACCATCTAGTCTGACCTCCTGCCTAACACGGACCAGAGAACCTCACCCAGGGATCAATCCATATATTAGCACCACCAATATTATGTTCCTGAATCTGGGAGGTGTGGAGGGGACAGACTCTCTCAAATGGGTTCTGGGGACTACAGGGCTGATCCCCCTGAAGGCTACGGAGGAGAGGAGAATCTGACTCAGGCACTTTAGAGACACACCTCCTCCTCCCCACCCACCCCCCAGCTTCTAACACCAGAGGTTGCAGGGATCCTTACCCAATGAGATCACATTCTCATAGTTCTCCTGCATCTCGTCCGTGGGATCCAGATTCGCTCACTCACTGCCCCTCGGTGGAATACACAGCTGCCTCCTCAACGGTAACCGGTCCCTGAAACAGCCAGAGATCCTCACTCAGAACCTGCTGGCCCAGCCTCAATCCCACCAGCTCAGCCACAGGAACCCTAAGTCGGTCCCTCTGCTCTCTCTCTCCTACATGTCCCTTCCTTAAAGTGATGGTTATACATTCCTATATGATTCTTTCTAGCCTCCCCACCACGCCAACCCTCATTTCTGGGTGAGCACCAGACCATTATCTCCCCCTGAACGGCTGCTCTGGTGCTATAAATGTAGTAAACCACTGACAGCAGGGATACAGGATCGGGGCAGGCTCTTTATTCTAATGGAGCACAGCCAGGCACATCGTGAGCTCTGCACTCCCATTTCTCTCATCTCCTTTCTCTTGGTAGCAGTAGGGACCATGTTTGGGCTATGGCAGGGCTGAGAAGTTTTGAGTTGAAACTTCCTAGTGATGATGCTCTAAGTGAGCCCAACCTGCCAGGGAGGTGCTGGAACAAAAAGCGGATGTAATTCTGCAGCCTGTCATGGGGAGAAGGGCGACTGGGGAGGTTTCAGAAGAGGCTTTAGTCAATTTCACACCCCCGGTTCCCCCCGTTCTTTCCCTGCAGACAGACACTCTGCAACCCTGGGACCATGCTCGGTCGTTTTATTACAGAACAGATTCAGCCCCTCTCCCTATATTAACACACACCCCTCCCCCCAGTAACAGAGTTTCTGAACCAAATGCTAGAAAAGCGCAGAATCGAAGGTGCCACTTTGGGCGATCTCTAGGGCTGCCAATTTTCATTGGAGGTACTCCTGGAGGTTTCCTCACATGACAGAATCTTTAATTAACGATGAATCTTTAATTCCTGGAGGGTTGGCAACCTTAGGCAGTGGTTCTCAACCAGGGGTTCGGGGCCTCCTGGGGGGCTATGAGCAGGCTTCAGGGGGGCTGCCAAGCAGGGCCAGTGTTAGACTTGCTGGGGCCCAGGACAGAAACCCAAAGCCCCACCGCATGGGGCTAAAGCCTGGGGTTCCAAGCTCCGCCACCTGAATCAAAGCCTGAGCGACTTAGCTTCACAAGGGCCCCCTGTGGTGTGGGGCCCTGGGCAGTAGCCCATCTTGCTATCCCCTAATGCTGGCCCTGGCTTTTATATGCAGAAAACAGTTGTTGTGGCACAGCTGAGCTATGGAGTTTTTATAGCATGCTGGGGAGGCCTCAGAAAGAAAAGGGTTGAGAACCCCTGACCTAGGGACAGCCCCCCCCCCCACTATTCCCAGGGCAGCGCATCCCCACAGCAGCACGGGGACCAGGCAAAGGCAGGAACTGGCTTTTCCTCTCCCTGCTCCTCCCCAGGAAAGTCAATCAGCCCCGGGGCGCTGCAGTGAATGGGGCTGGGCAGCGCTGGGAGCCGGGAACCTCCCTCCCTACTGATTGCTCCTGCTGCCCCTTCCCGTCTCCTTACCCCTCTTCCTTCCTCTGGCTGGGGAGACTGGCTTATTGTTGCATTGGTCGGGGGGGCCCGTTGGCTCTGCCCGGAGCAGGTTGGGCTGGTACAGGCGCTAAGGGCGGACAGAGCCGGGGTGTGTCCGGGCGGGCAGCAGCAGCAGTGCTGGGACTCCGGGGCGGTAGAAAGCAGCCCTTTCCCGAGTCACTTTCCTGCCCATCCCCAGCACTTTCCCCGAGTTCGCTCGCTCTCAATTACCTGGAGCTTCCGGTTCAGGGAGCTGATGTCGGACGGCAGGGGCCGGGGCTTCCCCGGGCAGCTCAGTGCCGTGAGAATAAGTCCTATAGCGCCCGGGTTTGTTGCAGCCCGGGTTGGGTATGGGGAAGGACACAGGAAGGGGATGGAGCAGCTGAGAGTGGCTGGAGCTAGGTGCTGGGTGGGAGGAGGAGGAGAGACAGGAAGGGGGGGGGGATAATACAGAACAGAGGGATCCCCCTAGCCCGTGGTGGGGCTGGCTCTCTTTCATTATAGCTGCAAAGAAATCAAGCTACCTCCATTGTGAGCCGGGAAGCTGTGCTGTGCTGTGCTGGGGAGGTGTGATCTTGCCAGCCAGGGACTTTCTCATTGTTGCGATTGTTCGACCTGGCGTCCTAGGGCAGCCCCGGGCTCTGCCGCCACCAGCTCCCGAGCCGGAGCCTGCAGGTAACTGAGAGAGACCCCGGGGGGAAAGGGCTGGGCAGGAAACAAACACGACCCCTCCTCTCTGCCAGTCCCCTCACTGACACCCCCAGGCTCTGGCTCCCCTGAGCCCCTGCAGGAGCCGAGCCAGCCAGCGGAACAATAGCCGTTAGCCACTGGTTTATTAGCCAAAAGTTTGGTAACTCCCACTGGTACTAGCAAAAATTTGCCCCACGGGGAGTGATTCCTGAGGTCACGTTGTCACTGGTGGCAAAGTTCCTTCCTGCATGCTAGGGCTTTTGTTCGGAGGCTTCCTTTCGGCACCGATCCTTTTCTTCTTCAGCCGCCCTGTTAGGAAATACCCTAGCTCGGTAGAAAGGCTGGGATTTCTGAAGGCTTTAAGGAGATTAGCACCCGACTCCCATTCTTTCAAGGAGAGTTGGGCACCTCTGTGTCTTCTTCCCCTTTGGAATCTAAAGCCACATATGCCCCAATCCCTGCACCTCCCTCCCTGCATCGCCTGCTGCCTGCACCTGCAAAGATTTCAGGTACTTGTTTTAGCAAATCCTCTCCCCTCTTCCAGCCAGCTGCCATTAAAATGCATGCATGAGCTTCCCCACTTGTCGTGTCCCTCCGGCTCTAGGGAGAGACCGGGTCACATCCTCAGCAGGTGTAAATCAATCTGCCTCCTTTGGCTTCAGTGCAGCCACAGTTGATTTACACCAGATGGGGATCTGGCCCCCAATGTTTTATAGACACCCAAACTCCCACTATATGAAACTTTGCAAAAACTTTTTATAAACCTTTAAATGTTCACAGATTCCATCAGGCAGCATCTGCGAACACTTTTGCCGCCGGCCACCTGTTTCAATGGGGTTGGGTCATGGTGATAGGCCATGGGCTCTGCCCCACTGAAGGTCAATGCATACCTCAGACTGGTGCAGGGGGCAGCAATCCCAGGCCCTTATGGGATTGTGGAACTGAGAGGGGGGATGCTTCTTGTTTTAGGGGCTGGTGGCCTTCGACGTCTGTGTATCTCACCATGGATCAGTGGGCTGCTGTGGATCCTGATCAGAAACCTTTGTGCAGGGGTGGCATACAGGAGAACGATGATCCCCTGGTGACTCTGAGTAAGTATTCCATGGAGGCTGTGGGGTCTTTGCAGCTGCCAGGTCAGCTTCTGAGCAGGGTTCTGCTGTGGACCCTTCCACAGAACTCAGCACAGAACAATGGGAAGGAGGATGGTTGTGCAGTGAAAGGGACGGACCCCCCCGCAGACTCCTAGGGACAGAGGAAAGGGACAGGTTTCCACAGGAGAAGTAGAGTTGGGGGGACATCTAGGCAAGAGTGAGGATGAGAAGATAGGGCAAATGCCTATCCAGTCCCGCTATTGACCGAGGTCTCCTTAAGGGAACAAGGGGAAGAACCATGTGTCCTGGGGCTCAATGAAAAGAAGAGCCCGAGAGATGCGGAAAGAGTTAAATCAATGTGGGATTCCCTTTCAGCTCCCCCAGGATCATGTCTCCAGCAGGTGTATCCTCCGGGCTTCCCATCCCCAGCCTGACACCTGGCAGTAGCTTCCTTCTCCCTGAAGCTGCAGATGGGAAGTTGGGGTAGGGTGGGTCCCCTCCTCTCTCTGCTCTAGGGAAGGGTTTGGGGTGCGAGGAGGGCGGATTTGGCTTCTGGTCTTTCAGCGTGCCTCAACAGTTATTTTGGTTTGTTCCTCCACTCCCCGGTGCAGGGCCTGACTCCTGTGCGGATTCTCTCCCTACCCCAGCCAAGGACAGGGCGGCGAGTGAGACCGAGGAGGAGAATCCTGGGGAGGAAGGCCCCGAGATCGTGGAACTGGATCCAGTGTTGCTGGGCAGGCCGGAGGGGGCTGGGGCCAGGAGCCCGGAGGAGCAGGGCCCGGCCTGCGAGAGCCTGCGTTGGACGGTGGTGCAGCAGATCGACTCCCCCGGGAAGCCGGTGCAGCGGCGAGGCGGCGGGGGCAAGTCGGCTGGCGCCGGCTTCCAGAACTTCAAGAGCATCATCGTGCTGCAGAAGAGCTATGAGTGTGGTGAGTGCGGCAAGACCTTCAGCTGCAGCTCGCACTTCAGCAAGCACCGGCGCACCCACACCGGTGAGAAGCCCTTCCGCTGCCTGCACTGTGGGAAGAGCTTCAACGTCAGCTCCAACCTCTACCGCCACCAGCGGGCCCACGCTGCCGAACGGGCCTGCCCACGCCCCGAGAGCTCCCCACCGCCGGTGCCGGCCAGCGCCCCTGCCCCCGCGACCCCTCGGCCCCGGGGGCTGCCCTATAAGTGCGAGGAGTGTGGCAAGAGTTTCCGGCGCAACACGGAACTGGTGACCCACCAGCGGCTGCACACGGGGCGCCTGCCCTTCCAGTGCGCCCACTGCGGGAAGAGCTTCTCGTGGAGCTCCCACTTCGACCGGCACCAGCGCATCCACACTGGCGAGAAGCCCTACCAGTGCCCCGAGTGCGGGAAGTGCTTCAGCCGCAGCTCCCACCTCTACCGGCACCAGCGCACCCACGCCGGGGGCCGCTCCTACATCTGCACGTACTGTGGGCGCAGCTTCAACAGCACCCTGCACTTCGACCGGCATCAGCGCACCCACACTGGCCTGCGCCCCTACAAATGCACCCTGTGCGGCAAGGGCTTTGGTGATGGGCTGGCCCTGGTCAAGCACCAGCGCCTGCATCTGGGGGATGGGCCCTTCCACTGTGAAGAGTGCGGCAAGAGCTTCGGGGCGAGGGCACAGTACGCCCGGCACCGGCGCAGCCTGCATGGCACTACTGCCGGTAGTACTGGCGGCGAGAAGCCCTACCGCTGCGGTGACTGTGGCAAGAGCTTCTCCTGGAGCTCCCACTGGGAGCGGCACCAGCGTATCCACACCGGGGAGCGCCCCTACCAGTGCAGCGACTGCGGCAAGCGCTTCGGCCGCACCTCCCACCTCTACCGGCACCAGCGCACCCACGCCGGCGGCCAGCCCCACGTCTGCGCTGACTGCGGCAAGAGCTTCAACAGCACCCTGCACTTCCACAAGCACCGGCGGGCCCACGCTGGCGAAGCCCCCTGCCACGCCTGCCCCGACTGTGGCAAGGCATTCGCCGACGGCTCTGCTCTGGCCAAGCACCGGCGCACCCACACCGGAGAGCGGCCCTTCCCTTGCCCCCAGTGTGGCCGGCGCTTCAGCGTCAGCTCCCACCTGTACCGCCACCTGAGGAGCCATGCTGAGGAGAAGCCACTGGAGGAGATCGCGTCCTACTAGAGATTAACTCCTCTTCCCCCTTTGCCTGGGAGAGGAACCCCCCAACGCTGGAGGTTTAGCTCACCGGGACCTGGCTGCCCCTCTCTGGGCACGGGAGTGAACTCCATGCGCTGCCAGCCAGAGCGTTAGTGGGGCTTACCTCACAGGGACCTGGCCATGGGGATCGCTGACCCTCAGGGGTAGCTGAGACCTCTAGGAGAGCAGCGGGCAGCCCCGTTGTGGGCACCCCGGGGCCACAGGGATGGGTGCAGTGTAAGGTCCCAATCTGGAGCCCCTTGAAGGGCTCCGCATCGATGGGGTCTGGATCAGGCCCTGAGGATATAGGTAGATAAGGTAGATTAGGTAGGTAGGATAGGTAGGAGGTAGAGCAGAGTGGTGGCAGTGCTAGGGGGCTGGGCGGGTTGGAAATAAGAAAGGGAAATGGTGTGGGATTGAGGGCATATTACCCACTTGCTCACCCCGGTGTAAATCAGGAGTAACCCCACTGGAGTCACTGGGACTGGTTCTCCTCCCCTCACCCTGGTGTAAATCAGGTGTAGACCCACAGGAGTCCCTGAGGCCAATTCCCCTTTTGCTCACCCCAGTGTAAATCAGGAGTAACCCCACCGGAGTCACTGGGGCTCAGTGCAGTTGCAGGAGTGTGAGGCGGATCAGGCATTGAGCACCTGCAGGCTGGGGCGAATGAGTGATCAGAGCTGGGGCGGGAGGCAGTATCTGGGGATCAGGTAGGTGGGGCGAGAGATGGTGAGAAAGATGGGAGCCAGAGCGGGAGGGGAAATGAAGTGTTTGGGGATCAGGGTGGCTGTGTGGTGGGCGCGAGAGAGGGCTGTGGGTGATGGAGGACTGGCATGTCTGTGGACTGGGCTGGTGGGGCAGACCATGGCACTGCTAGGGTCTCCAAGCTGAGGAGGATGGGACCAAGTTTACTGCCACTCCTTTTCTGGGTTTCCATGCCCTATCCCCTGCCTCCTGATCAACAGAACCCAGGAGGAGAAGAAACCCTGCCACACGGAACCCCCCGCAAGCCATCCCATCCAGGAGGGGAAATGCAGGGGACTCAACATGGAGAGAGCCTGGGAGGGGGAGAGAGCTTGGTGTGTAATGCGCCTTACTCCAGCAGGAATGAGACAGAAAACCTTAGAGTAGCATGTGATTAACTTGCAGAGTTCACAGCTACAGGAGATGACTGGGACAAACAGCTCAGCAAAGCCCTCTGCCAGCTCCATGGAGCAGTCTGGGGCTGTTGACTTCCAAGCGACTTCCTGCGTGTGTGAAAATCTCCCTTAGACACAAGCCCCCCCAGTCCTGATCCTAATTCAGAGCAGGAGGGACAAGAACCCACTCTCCCCTGGTCTAGGGATATGGAGGGGGTGAGTTTCGGTAAAGGAAGGAAGCTAATCACTCCTGAAATAAGCTTTCCAAGCTGGGGCTCAGAAAGTCGTGAGCTTCATCAGCTACACTTGTTGGAAGGATCTGGGAGGTATTTATGTACCAGGAAATCTGTTGTTGTTAGAGGTCAGATTCTTTGTTGGTGTCAGTTGGCATCCAGGGACTTCTTCCCATTTATCCCAGGTGATAAGTTAGCCCTTTCTCTACAGTAGGCTTGGGCCTTGTCTACGCATCAAAGTTGACTTGCTTTATAACTCGATGGGTACGGTTAAAGCAGTACAATCCTCACCCCCTTTAGTATGAATGTTATCATCATCATCACAGCAAATCCCTGCAGATTGAGCACTACCCAAATCGATTTGTAGCTAGATCCTCAGGATGGTCTGGCTGGATGGTCAGTCTACACTGGTGAGCTTATCAAAGTCTTTGACGACCATGTGATCGCTGGCTGTGTAGCAGTGTTCCTTGGTAACCGCACTTTGTAATTCATTATTACTCCTGAGGGCATTCTGCGCAAAAAAAAAAAAAAAAAATCTGCACCAAAAAAAATTAAAATTCTGCTCACAATATTTTAAAATTCTGCAAATTTTATTTGTCAAATAAATGTGGAGGCTCCAGCATGGCATTGGGGAGCACCGGCCACTGGCTGCACAGAGGTGGGAAATCACTGTGCAGCTCCCTCCTGAGACACAGACTCAGCGGTCAGGCTGCACCCAACCCTGACACAGCGCAAGGACAGGGCCTGCCCCAGAAACACCCCAGGGCCCTGCCCCTCTGTGCCAGGTGCACCAGGTAGGCTAAGCAAGACAGGATCTTAGTGGGGGGGGGGAATCCAGGTGTGGGTTGAGAGGGTTCTGTGTGGGGCCATCTGGGTGTGGGCGGCTCAGTGGGAGATCCAGGTGTGGAGGGGATTTGAATGCACAGGGGATTGTTGGGGGGTTCTTGGTGCAGTGGTAATGGGACTCTGCAGGGGGATCCAGGTGAAGGTGGTTGGGGCTCAGCAGGGGGGGTCTGGGTATGTGGGGCTCAGTGGGCCCTCCAGAAGCTGGGGGGTGGGGCTCAGTGGAGTGGGGATCCAGGTGCAACTGGTTGGAACTTGGTGAGGTGGGGATCAAGGTGTGGGTGGCTCGTTGGGGTGGTCCAGGTGCAGGAGGAGTGGGGCTCATTGGGGGTTCTGGGAGTGGGGGGGTGAGTCTTGGGAAGATCTGGATATGAGGGGGTCTGGATGCACAGTGGTTGGGTGAATGGGGGGAGCAGCTCCCTGTACAATGATCCCTCCCCCTGCAGCTGAGGAGCAATGAGCGTAGGAAGCGGGGGGCGGAGGGGAGTTTGCAGAGCTTCTTGCAGCTGGGGGAGAAATCTGGGGGTGGGTCTGAGCCAGCCCCGTATGCCGTGCAGGGAAGGGGAAGTCCCGTCCTCCCCAGTCCAGACTAGCAGCTGAACCAGGCACAGGATAGGAGTCACCAGCCAGGTCTTCCTCAGTTCCGCCTCCTGCCCCACAGTGATTTACCTCTCTGCTGGCTGCCCTGGGCACCCAAAACATACTGCTGGGGAGGGTCTCATGACCTTTCTTGTGGCTTCCCTTTGCTTCCCAATCAGAAAGTCATTTTTCTGCAGGGAAGCAAAGAAATTTGCAGGGGACAAATTCTGCACATGTGCAGTGGTGCAGAATTTCCCCAGGAATATTCATTAGTCTTTCATCCTAATTATACATCGGTACCAAGAAAGTCACCAAAACTGAACCAGGGCTGATGGAAGCAGTTGCTGTTTGGCTACAAATATCCTCATTGCTGATCTTGTCTCGACGCTTGAGATGGAGCAGTTGGCGAAGATCACATGAGTTGTATTGGTACAAAGGTGCCCTCTCTCAGTATAACTGTTCCCATAAAGGAAGGGGAATAAACTCTACCATCATAAGACATCTTTATGCCGATATAACTGCCTCTGCACTAGGGGTTGTTCCCACTGTACTATTCTGATGGAAAATCAAACTCCTATCCCATAAAGCTAATCTAGTCCAAAAACTGTGTGTAGACAAGGCCTGAAAATGTCCCACCGCTGCTACCACTGGTTCTGCTTTTCCATTGGTGTGAGAAGTCAGAGCCCTAATGTAGACAGAGTGCTTGTGGCTACCAGCATGTTAAGCACTGTTCTGTGTAAGCCAATTCTGTGCACGTCAACACAGTGCTTCAAATGCTGGTCTGTTCCTGGAGCCCTGCCTAAAGTAGCACTCACCCCATTGTTACCACAGGTGGAGCTGAACTGGCTCTTGCAATAGTGGGAAAACTTGGACAACAAAGCCTACGTCCCTCGTGGAGGCAGCAGTCCTTTCACGTGGGGCCGGTTGGGAAGCTCCAGATTGGGTGACCCTAGCTGGGCATTGGCTTTGACTGGACACTTGGTCACCTGGCTGGGTTGGAGCGACACATGCTACTGAGCGATGGCCCAAGCAGAAAAGGGCTATTGGCTGGAGTTAAAGGTGACCTGCAAAGGGATTTTGCTTTCTTTTATGCTTGTTTTTTATGTTAGAAATTCTGGTCTTGTTTACCCTGGAAGACTCTACAGTGCCTGGGGAATCAGTGAAGAGAAGACATCCCAAGAAAATGGAAATTGGGCAATTGGAAAGAGAAGGGATTTTTGATCAGCCTATTGTAAAACTTTCTTTTTTTATTAATGCCTGTTTCACTCCAGTACCTATACAACACCTGTGAAAAAAGAACATTGATGTTAACGATTAGGCAAGCTTTTCAAATGGGGCTGCCTAACAGTGGGTTCCTCTGTCCATATTTAGGCACCTAAATAATTATATTATTTAATATATTATGTAATTTTTAGGTGCCTAAATGTGAATTTCGGAGCCCAGCTTTAGGCATCTCAGCTCAAAAATGTTGCAATGAAGACTCGCTGTTGATATCTCTAAGGCCCCAACAAGACATCCAGCCTAGCCAGGGGAGATGTGGCTTGACATGCCTGACATTTCAAAGGTAAAAAACAAGCAGCCAAAAAGAAAAATGTAGTTACAAAAAATAAAATCTTTCCAGCCTTTGCTCTACATCACCAGGAAACAAAGAAAGAAACAGGTCTGGTTTTGTTTTCCAATCCACTGCAGGTCTCCTTCCAGCCATAGAATCCCAGCTCCGGAGCAAGGAGCCCAGGCAGAGAAGTAGTTTAGCGTGGGGGCTTGAACCCTGATCTCTTTAGCTAGAGTTCTGAGAATGATGTTCACTCGACAGAAGCTCCACTGCCGCCCTTGCGGTCCAGTACTTCTCTGGTCCAGGGGAACTGGGACTGTGTGTGTATTGTGAATAAAATAGACTAGGGGGGAATATCCTGGGTCTGTGTTCAGTTATTTCTCTGCTAGAGAAGGGATTAGCCCCACTTTCCTAACAGCACCTTGCAGGGCAGACGGGCAGCACTGTGGTTAAACAGCTGGCCTAGAACTAAGGAGATCTGGCTTTAAATCCTGGCTCTGCTACAGACTCCTTGGGTGTGTCTTTGACTCCTTGAGTCCCCAGTGCCCCACAATGGGAATAATACTTCCCTGACTCTCAGGGGTGCTGTGTGGAGAACTCAGTGTCAGTGAGCTACTCAGGCAGTACATATTCATGGCAAGGGCCAGGGGGTGTAATGGGCATAGCAACTTAACGGAACTGTGCCAGTTTATACCAGTTGAAGATCACATTCAAAGGGGCCTGATTTCCCCACTGTGGCAGAATAAGGCAGTCTTATTTCAAAATAAGAGCTCCCATGCTAGGGTTTGCACTCATTTATCAAAATCAGTTTCAATTCACACCTTGTTATACTGGTGCAGCTTTCTGGTGTAGACAAGTTCTCAGTGACTTCATACATACAGACAGCAGCTTTCAAAGAGGACTTCTTTGGGCCTGAGTCTTATTTACACTAAGAGCTGGTCTAAACCAGTTTAATTAAAGGTGTGCATATAAACTGGTTTAGTTAAACCAGTACAAACCCCTGTGTGGATGCTCTTATTTCAGTGTAAAGGCAGCTCATGTCTAAACATTAGTCAATAAAAATCCCATGAGATTTGTTTCAGCAAAGGGGGTGATGTTTAGGTGGTGGTGACGTTAGCAGTCAGCATGCATGGTATAGACACAGCGATGCCATGTGGATGTCTGAATTGCTCCCAATATTCACAGGATAGATCAATTCACTTGCTTTGAACACTAGAGGGCAGCGTAACTCAAGGAAAGTCCCTCATTCAACACATGAGGAAGCCCATTGACTTCAATGAACTGTTCCCACACATGAAGTTAGGGGTGTGCTAAATACCTTGCTGAATCAGGGTCAAAAAGAGGATCTGATTTATATAGCCATAGATTTTAAGGCCAGAAGGGGGTCA